TCATGGAAAAATAAGATATCCACGGAAAATAAGACCTAGCGCATCTTTGGGAACAAAAATTAATGTAAGACACTGTCTTGTTTTCGGGGAAAGAGGGTAGAAGTGAAGATGGTGAGACTTTGTCTTGCATACTTTGGCCACGTTATTAGGAGAGACCAGTCCTGGGAGAAGAGCTTCATGCTTGATAAAATAGCAGGTCAGCAAAAGACGTTCAATGAAATGGGCTGACCCAGTGCCGGCAACAGTGGACTCAAGCAGAACAGCCATTGTGAGGAAGGACTCTGCCCATTCGTTAGGCATACCTTTGCCTCACTCATACACATACAACTCATCTCTCCGGATGGCCTCTCCGTCTACTGGTCCCAGGGTGACAGTCAGGAGTTTTGAGCAGGTGCTCCTATCCTACCTGGGCCAACCTGCATTACTCTCAACTATTTCATATTATGGTTACTGCTCTGCTGGGTTTTACTATCTCAACATATTACTTCCTGACTTAACAACCTCCTCAAGTGCTTTCTTATTAATTTTAACAATGGTTCCTTTCACCGAGCACCTACTATGAGCTAGGCATTATACTGAAAGCCATGGAGAATGTATCTCCTTAATACTCAAAATAACCTTTATAAATTTGACATTATGACATTCATGGCACTATCAATATCTCATGACTTGGGCAGTGGGACCAGGTATGGTTTATTGAGCGCTTACTGAGATTGGACTAGACACTGTACTCTTGTACACAATACTATAGATAGATAGTATTTTTTAAATAAAAACATGAATTAGGTATTATTAGTTCCATTTTACTGATGAGGAAATTGATGCAGAAAGGGTTTAAACACTGTGTGTAAATCACTTAACTGAAATTCAAGCCCAGGCCAGTCAGATTTCAGAGCACATGATCTACTGCACTGACCCTGGGATGACAGCCAATCTTCTTACGGCCACATCTAAGGCCCTTCACAACCCATTTGCCTAGTCTCCCCTTCTGCCACTCTCTCCAACATACATTACACTCCAACTATCCCGAAATAATACCACAACACACAATTCAATTGGATCACTGGGTGCTCTGCACATACTTTTCTCTGGCCTAGAATGGCTTTCCTCTGTTCTTTTTCTGCCTAGAAGCCTATTATTGATCCTTCATGGTCAAGTTCAATCATGCCGTCCTTTGTGATCTTCTCAAAGATGCCGCAGCAGTTGTGACCACACCATGGCCCTCTGTAGTCTTATGTGACTCAGAATGCGCTTACAACATATATGGTTTCCATGCTCACAAGTAGATTGTGAGCACCTACAGGGTGCCTACTCTCTTCTATTCATCTTTTAACCCCTAGCACCTTACCAAGGCACTAGCGGAAAATCGAAGGAGCCTGGGTGGGGTCATGGTTCAGTGCTTGGCTGTTAATGAAAAGCTTGGCATTTTGAACCCCTAGTGGTTCTGTAAGAGCAACTATGTATGGCAAGCTGTTGCCGTAAAGATGACAGCCTACAAAACTCTTAGGGGAGCTCTCCTCGGTCCTATAAGATCATTATGAGTTTAAATGGACTCCACAGCACACAAAAACAAAAGCGGAGAAAGGGTGATGAAAGCAGTAGTTTCATACGACTGAGCACGTCAATGCTCCGCCTTGCAAAATTCAGCCTGTGTCTTCTGAACATGTCCTGCGCCCTCCTGATTTTCTTCTTTTGCTCGTACCCCAGCATTCTCCCTGGCCTCTCTGACTAATTTAACTTTATCGATTATTTAAGGCTGCACATTCGAATCCTTTGGAGAGTTCAACCAGTAGCATGCAGTCAGATGCCTCGCCACACCAGCAGAGATTCTGATAGGTCTGAGGCCGGGCCCTGCCACTGGTATATTGTAAATGCTCCAAGCGGAAGTGCACCCAGATGACAGAACCTAATTTAAGCTACTCCTCAAGGCCCACCTTTAAAAAGCTGAAGGTGCTTCTAATGATTTCACTTGTCTCTGGACTCAGAGAAGTTAATGTGCTCTTCACTAATTGGATGATAATGAAATGCTGCCGTGTGGCTGTACCTCACTATTAGCCTTGCATTTTGACTATTCATACATGTACTCTCCCACATGAGACCAAGAAACATGGCAGGACTCCCTTCTGCTTCTTTGAATCCCCATGCCATGCACATGGGTTTGCACATAGGTCTGATGACTTAAAATTAAACAACAGCAAAAAAATGAGACTGCTTAAATTTCACTACACGAGCATGGCATTGGTATAAGGATAAATAGGCTGGGGGGAAAAAAAGTGGGGTAGGATGGAAACAATAGGGAAAGAGTAAACAAAATAAAAGACAGATGGAAAAAAAAAAGAGCTAAATTAGCCCCAAAGTAAATGTTTCCCAGCTTCTTGAGAGGGTTTGTTTTGTTTAATTTTGTAAACCCTGAATCCGAATCAACAAGAGAATTAACTTAGCTTGTACCCTAAGATAAGAAGCTTGTGTTCTGGGTTATATAATTTTACAAAGTTTCCAGGGTGTGAAGAAAATAACCACTCAAGGAGGACTCTTTTACTTCTTCCCTAAGGATCCATTGCAGCTCCCGCCTTCATTGGCTCCCTGATCTGCTCGGCTTGACGTGCTTGCTTCTAGCCCTGTGATCTTAGGCTAAGCCTTCCGTTCAAGGGCCCTGATGTTGAGCTCACTGTCAGAGAAGCAGGCTACAACATAATCCTCATTCCATAACTATCATCTCTGGGTGTCATGGTCTCTGTTTAATAAAAAATAAACAAACCAGCTATACCTGGCATCTACTCAACTGGTCTTCCCAAGGTCTCCCTACTTTACAATGACACAGGCACGGTCCAACATTAAGTTGTACTACCAAGTACATAGGGCACAATCACGCTAACGATGAGCTTTAAAGCATTTCTCGGTACTCATGCCCCAGAAAAGGTTGATCTTCCTATGTCCTGATATACTTTGGCCACAAAGTCAAAGCAGAGAAAAGGCCTGATGAATCACGAAGCACACCCTCTGCTAAGCTCAATCAGCTTATCCGACAGAGACATACTTTCTGTATCAAACTTGAGCTTACTCATTCAACCACAAAGTGAGCAACCTACTCCAAACACACGCACATCTCTACAGATGACCTGCAAGTCCTTTTGCCTGGGTAGGCCAGTTTAACACTGGTCATGGTTTACTTTAGTTTCTAATTGTTGCCTGAAGACATGATTGAGGGCATTTAATTCCGCCTCTGATGGATGAGTACTGATAGTAACAAGATGTCCTTTGTAGATAACCCTGCCGACCCAGCTAATAGGATATGAGTTTATAGACTGTCACTGATCCATCCAGGCTGCCCTCCTGGTTCTTCTCATGACCAGTGGCCTGCATTTGGCCTTGTGAGCCAACCGCCAAGCACTACCAACGCCTTTCAGTTACCAAAGAAGGCATAAAATCATAATACTGGTTCTGCCATCAACTTCCTGTTGAAAGTAACAAAATGGGAAAGACTGGTTACTTAACTGAAACATATGGCTCTCAATACTTGCCTAACTTATAACTTCTCACTGGAATTAGTGACCCGGGGATTCTTGAATCCATGATGCATACCTCCATAATAGATCGAATCAAAATCAGTACGTTAAGATGAACGTGCCACATAAGATCGAAACCAGAGATGAACTATAGCTTTTCATGGACTATGATTAAGAAACCGTGAAGATGAAGGAATCAACATTGATCCACCAAGAATTTTGCTTGACACTCTGTAATGATCCCCCCCGGCAGCCACCAACGGGATTTATGGAGCATGATGAATTCCTAGGGTACAGACCAAGGGTCATTAGGTTCTCCAGGAATATTTTTGGATGAGTTCCACTAAAAATAAAAAAGGAGTGAAGGATTCAAAGGCCAGGGTATTTGAATCATCAGGGGTAAGGTATCACTGAGCTAAAGAGCAGGCCAGGGCCTGAAAATTCAAGATTGTTCCTCTAAATGAAAACAAGCAGCCCCGTCTTCTCAGAACATGGCGGACTCAATCACCCAGGGGGAATGCTATTTACTCAGCCCGAAGCAAACCAAGAAGAATTCTCTGGGCTGTAACCGAGGGTACTCAGAAAGTTATGTCTGAAACAGGCAAAGGCTCACGATTCTTTGTGATGATTCCTAACTCCTTGGCAAAGAGCCAGTTTACCTAATGCAGGTAGAGGGCAACCACCCTGCCTCTCAGCTGCATCTTCCACAACAGCCAGGAGCACCAGCACAGCATGTCATGCTTCTTTGATGAACAACTTGGACTTGTTACATATTTAGCAAAATGAGAAAATCTTGAGTCTGAAGGCTGCTGCACTCAGCAAATCTGAACACGAATCCTGCCTCTTTCCTTCTGCCCGCACGATGGGGTGGGCACCCAGTCCCCACAGTAGGATAACGTTGAGATTAAAAATTAGTAAAGCTATGTTTCCTGTTATTTTTACAAACGTTTTACCCAAGGAGTCAAACTGTGGAGTTGGTTTCTTTAGGGTTGGGAGGGCAGATGAAGAAAAGAACTTTTCTGAGCATGGAAGGGGAGAAGTCTCTCAACATGAGAATGGAAACCAGAGGCAGGGAACTCAGAAAAATCACCATTCTCTTGGAGGTCTCCCTGGTGTTGGTTTAGAACTTTTAACTACTGGGCTAAGAGTTCATAGACGTGTACCTCTTTCTGGGGGACCGTTTATTCCCCTGACAAGGTTTATTCACCGGACCTTCGGCTGGCCTAAGGGTTTTCAAACATATCACCACTGAGAGAGAAAAACAAAACATAACCACCACCATTTAATTCACACACAAATGATCTCATCCTCAGGTAAAGCTCACCCGTTAGAGATGGAGATACGTTATGTACTTAGAAGTGATTGAAACTATCAGAGGGCATGCTAACTCTCTGTTCATAGACTTTTCCTGTGGGTCTCCCTGTCTCATTACAATGGCCATGGTAGGTAGAGCTTACTCTCTGACCTTGACAGTTCCTCAGTTAAAACACTCACCTGTCTCCTCTCCGAATCAAGGTACTGGAGAATCAGCCTGGTGTTGACACTGTGACTCCATGTGTTTCCCAGTGCAGCTGTCACACAGCTGGATCCAGAAGCGCCTGAAATGAAACCAGACCATGGTTATGAATGTGTTTCTTGGGATGGCATTTCACATCAACTCGTTAGACATTGCTCAGAGAGCACTTGGGGGCTTAGAGAAGATGGAGGGGGCGGGGAAGGGGGGTTAAGGAATGGAAAGTTTCAGGAAAATTGTCGACCACTGGACTAAAAGATAACTGAGCTGTAAATCAACAAGAGGTTGCATTGCAAAGCGGCTCAGAGACATTGCTAATAATAAATCACGTCACTCTATATCCACAGAAAAGGGGATAATGCTATGCTATAGAATAAAAGGCAGTTATGAAACGTCCCAGCTTAGTCGAGTTGAAAGACTTCTTTAGCTTGATAAGAGTGTTCGCTCAACTTTCCTTATCACCATAGAAATGGTGGTATATGAATATAAAATTCCTTCCTTCCATTACCACCCCACACATACCCAGAAGAGGAATCTGGAAGGCCTCACCACTTCCTATCTAATCTTCTTTAGACATCCCTGTTCCAAGAGAAACATTCCTTAACCTTCTCAGACTTTGCTATAAAGGCGAGGTCTGAAGTGAACTTTATTTGGAATGCTAGACTACTCAAGGTTGCAGTTCAACTACTACCTTCCATGTCCAGAGTCTCACTGGCTTCTCTGAGTACCACCAGGAGAAACCTGTTCCTGCTTGCTTTCTCTTCTTCCTCCTTCGAGGGAAGTCTGCCAACCTCACCACTTAGAAGCCAATCCCTATTATCATAACCAGGGCATCCCGAGGTCTTCTCTGAACACCACCCTGGGCCATGGGAGGAATCCGAGCTTTAGGGGGATACGGTTGGACATGTAGTCTGTTTTCTACTGTCGAGAGAACATCTTTTTTCAATGAGGGCATTAAGCTACAAAGAAGTTGGAATCTGAAATAGATAAAACCAAATAACCCCTGTAGTATCTCGTTTACTGCCCACAAATTTAATCATCTGATTTTAACTCTTAATGTAGACAAGGAGTTGGCCGTGTTTTCCAAGCTGGTCTCCCAATCCTGCATCGCCTTATGTTTCTGGTCCCAAACGCAACAGCTTCCTATGAATGTGGTGCAGCCCATCTCAGATGAAGGGGATTTTGTTGGCAGTTTCTAACTGGGCATCTGATGGATAGAGACCAATGGTTCTGTTAAACATTCTACAGTATACAAGACAGATTCCCTACAACAAAGAATTACCTGGCTCAAAATGTTAGTGGTGCTGAGGTTGAGAACCCCTGGGTTAGATGTCATCCAACCAAAAACCCACTACCACGGAGTAGATTCTGACTCCAAGCAACCCTTTACAAGTTTCTGTGACTATATATCTGGATTGGAACAGACAGCCTTATCTTGCTCCTGCAGAGTGGTGGGTGGTTTTTTGAACCACTGACCTTGGTTAGCCCAGTGTGCCACGATGGTTCCTTATATTATTTCTGCTTCAAACAGGGACAGGAGATGAATTAAGTGGAAGTCAACCCCTGTGGCCTCACCAACTTCACATTGGCGGGGAACTGAGCATAGGGAAGAATTAAGTTTGGGGTGGCTGGTTCCCTTGGGTCATTCTGCACCCCGTTCAGAACACACAGATGAATGTGAACACAAATCATCCCGACTGTGGCTGATATGACCCTATCTGCCTCCACCTCTGCCCCTTCCTCAAAATCTTTCCATATCGTCCATGCTGGAGAATAAAATACTAACTTGTGAACTATGTTTCCCGGACACGTCATCACCTGCCTCTGCATCTCTCTGTGACCTCCGCTCTCTGGTTTTTCTTACTGGAGGGCCTCCCGTCCCTCTCGACTTTGTCCTCCTCTTCCTTGGCCTCAATCAGCATTTGCTAATACGCTCCTCTCTGACTGTCCACTACACTGACTTCTTCTCCTTTTATATCACCGAGCACGTCCTCCAGGATCTCTGCCTCTGTTGGCCTTCTTTCAGTTGTAGATGGCCATGAGTTGGCCAGTCTCGGAATTTTTGGTTTGTTTCTTTATACTCAAAGGCCTTGAGTGACGAAGAAGGTAGCATATGTTCATTGAGAGGCAAGAGGTTATATTTTCATTTAATGGCATGTTGTATAATCACTTTGTATATTCAAGTGTCCAGCAAACATAGTTCACAAGTTAGTATTCATAGAGCTGTTCATCCATCACCACAATTTTAGAATATTTTCATCACCCCCCCAAAGAATACCTGTCAGCCCTCAACTCCCCTCCCCAGCAGTACCTCCTACCCCAGTTCTAGGCTTTCACTGATGTACTTTCTCTCTCTACAGACTCAGCAGCTGACTGTTCATGTTCAGGGTTAGGAGAGGGCGGGGAATAATGAGGCGGTGGCATTACAGAGTCCACCTGCAGTCTCAAGGGGGCATTCCTGTTCTGCTCCAGCTGTGGCTGTCATGTGGCACCATCGTCAGTCTGCTCATTTGATTTTTATAGAGTTCATAAATTAATGTCATAATCTGGTATTCAAATATTATTATAAATCTTAAGTGAAAACAAATACACACACACACACACACACCGATGCTTATGGGCTAGATAGGACTCACAGTTCACCAAGCTTTAGCTTACGTTTCGCATGACCAGGGCCAATGCTGATGAGGATGATCCGCCATTGGGAGGATGCTGAGCCTTGGTGTCAGCCTCTCAGCACCTGTCCTCCATTGACAACCACAAGAATGGCAGGTCTCATTGCATGATAAATTCCCAATATTTCCATAAATTCCCTCTCTTCTAATCAGACTCCTATCTTTCTATCCTCCTTTGTCCTTTTCTTTGAACTCCCAGTTAATTTGGTTTGAAACCGGTTCCATTTTTATTTCTCCTTCTCCTATACTCCCTCACTATTGTGAAGTCCTACTTATTTAACCTGAAAATCACGCCCGCCCCCCCACTTCCTAACCTCCATTCTTCGTTCCCTGACCTTAGATCAGCCCCATGCTTATTTCCGCCTATTAACAACCACTACCGCTTTCCCACTGCTCTCTACACTGCGGAGAAGTCCCTACTTAACTAAAACCCATCCTCGATGCTGCTGCACGACTGACATGCCCCAAGCACACACCTAAATATATTCCTCAAAAACTTTCAAGGACTCCTAAGTTCCTCAAAGTGTTCCAAAGAGTGGCAGACATTCAAGACTCTTGCAGCCCATGCCCAACCTGCCTTTCCCTACCTCTTTCCT